CAAACTTTTATTTTCCCATGCAGTGGGGCTGTGCCTGCACTGCATGAGCTAAGTTCTCATTTTATCCAGGAGTTAAACGGAACCTCTGGAAAACCGTATTCCCCCACGTCCAGCGGTGGACTGTTTCTGCTGTCCTCATGTCCGGAGCCGGTCTATGGGAGTGATGATGCCAGGAACAGCCCATTCACAAGAGCGCTAGCATGCGTGGGGGCAGGAACAGCAGGGAACAGTCTTGCGCTCAGAGGATCGGTGCATTAGGTAATTATATCTTTGCTTTCTGAGCCTCTAGACAAAAACGAGCATTTAACCCATGCAGGGCGGGCACAGCCCCAGTGCATGGGAAAGTAAAATTTTTGCCTGGAATTCTTCTTTAAGCCTTCTGCTAAAAATGAAAAATGTTATGGAGCTAGAGCTGTTGGATTTTGCCTCATACACAAAGACCATGGGCAGAGCATTTTCTGGAAGGCTGTCTTATTAAAAAATCAAGGAAGATTAGCTGGTGTAGTATGCATGTATTTCTCAATACAATGGAAGGTCTATGAGGCAGGAAAAATTTAGATTGTATGAACAATTTCAGCTATTAATGTAGCTGAGCCCAATAGTTTGGTGGATTTTGGCTGGTGAGGCAGTTATTATTCTGAAATCTAAGATCATGGATTGATGCTGCTGTTACTAGAAACATTGTCTTCCTGGAGCGGTTTCCTCTTGTTATATCTGTTGTTTTATTTGGTAAGCAATTTAGAAACTGGAAATTTTGCTACAGACCGACAGGAAGATTGTTTTGTATGCACTGAAATGTCTCTCCATTAGTGATTAGGCTACTTAGGCATCTTGTTCTTCTTTGCCTCCATTTAATACTTGACTTCAAGCCAAATACTTGAGGTAAACAATCATATAGCAGACATTCTGTCTCGCCAGAAATTTCATCAGGTCATGGAATTGCCCCCTCAGAAGATAACATTGCCCAGAACATGTATACCTTCTGATATGCAATTGATTTCTTCAATGGTTCAAAGTTCCATTGCTAATCCAATCTGGTTTGCTTATGCAACTGCTTGGCGGAAGTGGCAGGATTTTTATTTCTGTACTGGGTTTTTCTCTTTATGGGAATTCTGCAGGAATCATTCTTGCTTTTCTATGTAAGATGCACCAAACTGGCTATTCACATGCTCATTTGTCAAAATTACCACCAGGTGTTTCCTTTTTAAGAAACATGCAACTAATGTTTTTCTTGTGAAACATTCCCTGAAAGGGCTTAAGAAACAAATTCACTTTGCAAGAGAATTTTCCCTTAGCTTAGTGAGAACCTCTGCTAACATCTACCATCCAATCACAGGGATTTAAAATAGCATCCAGTGCTTAGAAAGATGGGCGTTTGCTTCATTTTTGTCCTGCTCACTGTATTTATTAAACATAACACCCTCACCCCTTTTATACAGGTACCAAGAAAGCAGTCTTGATAGTTTGGCATTTCTATATTTTGGAAAATGGTAAAGAGGGAATGTGTTTGGGGAAAATCTCCCTAGTCAACTATCTGACTTACTTCAGATGTGGACTTGCTTGACGTCCATGTGTGCCTATGCTTGATGTCCTTGGGAGATAATTTAGGTAGAATTAAGAGTTTTGACCACCCTAACAAAATGAAGTCTGCTTGTACTGATATCAGTGTACAGTTACACTTTGTTACGCTTGTGTTTTCCAAGATGGTGACTCTTATTATGGGCGTCTAATCCTGGGCTCCGATTCCTGGATAAGATGAGGAAAACAATCAATTGAATAATGTGCAGGTTTATGTTTCAATATTTGTTGCTTTGCCACTATGAATTGGAAGGTTTGTTGAAGGATTGGGTGAACTTGAACAAAGCAGGCATGATCTGCAAAGTATTAATGATCAGGCCACAATGGTAGAGAGGGACAGGTTTTAGAAAAGCTGGCTTTTGGGTAATGTGACTCACTTTGTGGTTAGGCACTGTGTAGTAATGCTGTAATGTTGGACTTCTCAGCTTAAATTCTAAAGACTAAAGAGTTTATTTTAAAAAATGCATAGCTGCTTGTCCATTAAAACTCGATGTACATTTGCTTTATGCGAATAGGGCATAAATCAAAATGTTCTCCAGCTATATTCTTTTCATTTTGAATGTGTGAATGCTGAAAATGTTGCATTATGGCGACTAGATGGCACTATGGACCACACTTCTTTCCTATGATAGTCAAAACCATTTAGAGGCCATACTGCATAGCCACTAGATGGCACAGACTACCATAGCAAATCAGTGTACCACTCTGCACCATCTAATAGCTATGATTTGGTCTATTCTGTATTTACACATTTGAATTGCAGAGACTATAGCTGGAGAACATTGGATTTTGACCCATTCACACGAAACACATTTGCATTTAGTTTTCAATAGATAAACAGTTATGAATTTTTTTTTAAGATACACTCCTAAATAAGTAGGATAATTACAGATTGAATTTGGTGGTTCATGTTGTTATTCATAGTTTTGTTACTATTTATATTAAATATATGTTACACTGAATAAAAGAACCACTACATAACTTTTTTCAACATTCTGGTGTTGTGTGTATTATTTAATTATGTAATATCAACTGGTATTTCTGGGAAACTACCATGGATGGAAGAATCTCTTCTGTGGACAAATTGTTACATAGTTAGTCTTGCTGAAAAAAGACAAAAGTCCATCTAGTTCAACCATTTCAAAAAAAAAAAAAAAAAAAAAGTTATAATTCCTATACCCACAGTTGATCCAGAGAGCCATCTGTGGGCAGTGGCTGTCTGAATACCCAAACAGTGATTGCATCTGACAAGATGCAATCATTGTTGATCCAACAGTTTTCCACCAGCTCCTTTTAATGGAAACTTTTTGAGCCAGGTGCTGACAGAGCCACTCACAGTTTGCATTTGAGCCGTGGATGGCCTGCTTTACACTAACAGTCAGTAATGGGACAGTGTCATGCAGCTCCCAGGGCAAGGATGCAGAATTGCGCCCCCATCCATCACTGTTAATACATGCCATAGAATGGGTTTACCATCTTGTGTCCATTCTTTGCCAGCTTGCTTCTCTGTGCTGGGGCAACAGTCCCTCCATCCACCCCTTGTCCTGGCCCTACTAACAGTAAGCTGGATCAAGCTCTGATTTATTTGATCTTTTTTTCTACTCTACTAGAAAGCCTCTACAAAGAAACATTGGGGGGGAAGTTCAGGTAAGCTTTGAAAAAGAACGCTAGAAACTGATTGGCTCCCATGCACAACTGCTCCAGATTCTGTGTGCTCCAATCTTAGCAAATTCCCCTTATTATATTTTTTTCAGCTCACAGAGGAGAAACACAGGGAAGGCATCTATTATTGGCTATCACCATGATCACATGACCATGAGCAGGTTCTCCCAGCTCCTGATCATTACTCTAAGACCAGGATTTGTCAGTGACAGCTTAGTCCCCATACTGAGGTCACACAATCGAGTACACGCAGGTATGCAAGTATTTTGTAGCACGGCATAAGGCCCACTCTGTTTTGCCACATATATGCATACAACCAGAGGGAAAAGGTTAATGGCAAAAATAAAAAAAAGGTCCCCATCCTAACAACAGCCGCTTAAATGTACAGTAATTACACACAATATATATATATATATATATACACACACACACACACACACATATATACACACACACACATATATACACACACACACACACACACACACACACACACACACACAGATATTAATCAACATTTAAAGAACAACCTCACAGGTTGACTTCTCTACTCTAGTGCACAAAATTCAACAGGAGAGACCCGTGATCCCTCATCAAGTTCACACTGGCAGAAATTCTACTAGAGAATAGGACATGGATACAGATATGATTCCATTCATTTGACTATGAAAGCAGTGTGTTAATAAACCAGTTTTACATAAGCTGCCTAGGATATTAGCTCTCTATTAGGAAACACTGGCTTGACTTTTGTCATTGCCTTGAGAGCGGCAGAACTAATTTAGCAAGATTCCCAGGAGTCTGCTGCATGTGACCTTGGATGGAACACAATTTCATCTTTAAGAAAAATGACACTAAAAACTCAATATTCTTTTTTACGCCTTGGGTAAGCACAAATGTATCCCCTATAAAGCACGAGTGTGAACACACACTAGCATTAATCTATTACTTTTTTTTTTCTGTCTTTTTATATCACTAGCAAGCTTCTAGCTGATCCCAGTAACCATAGGAAATGTATTCTGCCAAAAAGTGCTCATATTCCTAATAAACATAAAAAACATACGCTAATATAACACAAGCAATGTCACCATGCAAACGTTCAATTGCTTACATAATTGCCTAGATATAAGATGCAATCACTTGTTTCAAACGGATAACTAATCGAGAAGCCTATCTTCCCTGCAGCTAACTTTTTCTCTAAACATGCCCTGAACAAGTACCCCATTATATACAGTAAATGTATAAGCCAAGTGCTGAAAATTTATTTCTAAGTATCCAACATAAAAGGAGAGCAAATCAAAAGATTTACAGCCTCCTCTAATCCCATCCCAGCATCTCCCCTTCTTTTAGCTGTAAATGCTTAGCTACTGTGTGACAATGACATCCTGTTGATTTATAAAGTCAGACACAGCAGTGAGCTCCATTCCAGTAAAACTTCCACTGGCCTCTGGTGCCACCTAGCCACAGTACTGCACTTCTACTATCATAACATTCAGCACCAAATGCTAATAGTACAAACTATGATTTTATCCCAACAATCCTGGAAACAGAAGGAATACTGTGCGTATGAGATGACATCACTATATATGTGGCACTGTAAGCCAGAGTCTAATACTATGTACCGATTCAACATTTTTTTTTTTTTTTTTTTTTTTTTACACATTTATTCATACATTGTATATAATTGAAATCAAGTCAGAATGTATAGGGACATTATGTATTAATGAAAGCAGCAACCTAGAGTATCTCACAGCAACCAGTGGTCAACTTTTGCATTCTACCTGCTCTACATAAGGGAAATCTGACTGGCTGCTATGAGTTACTACACTTAAATAAAGTTGGTTCATTCTGGAGCTTAACTGGTACTTACTGTAAAAAACGTATTCTGTATAACTGGACCAGATCTTGTCATCAGTGTACTGATTAACGAATGAAGCTGTTACGGATGAGTTGCAAGCCACCATTTGGAATCCACATTCTGACAGCATGTCGAAGGCTCTCTCTAGATGTTTGAACTTGAGATAAAACCTGGAGGTGTATTTTTCTGGGGCACGGTCTGGATCCCTGCTTTCGTTAAGTGTTTCTCCAAAAACCTCTTTGGCTAAAGAGATTCGACCACAAACAAGAATTCTTGGAACTCTCCGAAACTTGGCGTCTGCTTGGCTTTCTCGACCCATCGTGCAAGATCCTCGGTAACCAATGGTAATGAAGCCCCATTTTTTATCTGAAGGCATTAAAGATGAAGATGGACATATTCTGGTTTCACTACCTTGGGAGGCTTCTTCAAAGTCACTGTGGCAGTAGTCATCTGGGCTTTGTTTCACTTCATCAGGTGCTAAGAGTTTTACTAGTTCTGGCAGTAAAAAGTATTCCGCTTCTCTTTTCAAACGCCCTTTTTCTGGAAAGTGATCTGGTAAGACCACCTGCCGGTCCCTGAGAAAATCAAGAACATAACGGAATAGGAACCCATCTCGGTCAAGAAAGAAGCGTCCTTTGGCATCTTTGGCCAGGTCGTTTATAGAGTCTCTTTTGGAGGTGAACATTTTCCATAGAAGTGAATGGGGTATACTGGTCAAGGTGGAGTGGCGTGTAAAGTAAACTTGCCCTCCAACATTTAATTCAATTACTTCTGGGTATGACTGAAAGATAGTCCCTTGGTCTCTAGGTGGGGCATAAGTTCTGCAGTTTCCACTTAGTGCCATTTGTGCTTGACAGATGCTCCTAGCTACAGTACAAATAGTTCATGAATTGCAAAATGGGAATGAAGAACTGCAATGTAGCTCCTCAAAGTGCAAATATTTGCTTATCAGTCTTGAATTTGTAATCATGAATTCAATCACAAGTGAGCATCAGCCTAATAGATTAGTCTGTGGAACTTTAAAGACCAGTTCCACTGGAGTAAAAACTTCATTAAAAAAAAAAAAAAAAATATGAAAGATGTGTACCTCACACTGAGCCCACCGGATGCAAGGTCATGCTATATGTACAGACATGTTAAAATCTGTAAAAAAAAAAAAAAAAAAAAAAAAAACACATTAGGAAAGTTAAGAAGTCTGTCAGTGACATATATCAGAATTATCATATAGTAATATGAATACAACAGATTTTTTTTATATAGTTATCTATATAGTTATGTTTCTAGATGTTAGAACAGCAAACTTACATGCATACTACATTCACATATCTAAAGCTGATTGCATGCACTTGACAGCAGCCAAAAACTGGATTTTAAGGATCAGAAATGCAATTTAAATGCATAGCAAAGCCATATGTGATACTGGTTATATAGAGTAAAACATTACAGAAAACAGTTACAATACCTGAGTTGCGTAATCCTTCCTCGGTGAAAAAAAAGGAGGTCATTTTTGTACAAACCCAAAACAAAACAAAAAACAAAAAAAAAATCAATAGAAAAAATACTAATTAACAAAAAAGTCTCAAAAAGCTGTAGCTCTTATCAAGTGTAGAGCGTTATCGGCTCCTGGGTGGCAGCACAGTGATGAATTATCAGATGTAGTGATCATCAGATAAAATGCACACTGAAAATAGGATTAGCTGGTTATTTTAAGGGAAAAAAAATATTCCCCCAGATGGGATGCTGCCTTTTAAATGCTTTGCAAAAAACTCTCAGCCAGACTGCATGGGGAAGGATTCATGTTTGATACTCCAAGTTCCAGCAGGAACAGAGAGGTTAGCATAGTTCCAGGTAGGCTGAAAGAAAAAGAAGGGACAGGAGCAGCCAGAGCAAGCAGCTAGGAGTAGTAGCAGCAGCTGATATTCAGCTGTGGGTGCTCTGGTGCTTGGTTGCTGAGCCTGCTCTAGCTGCTGAGCTGGGTGGATCCACAGTTCCCAGGGCTGTTCTGAGATGGTGCTATTTCAGCAGTGCAGGGAAGAAACCAACCAGGGAAATAACTATTACATCATCTTAAAGGAATATAGCTGCTAGAGAAAATAAAAGAGCAGAGGATGGATTGAAGAGCAGCCCTGTGTTCAGAGGCAGGATTGCTTTAAACAGGTAAAGGCTAATCCTCCGCAAGCCTAAAAATTCAAAAGCACACTTTAAGCTGTCCTGTTTTCCCAAGGGTGTTTTAACCTATTAACTTCCATTTACATGATCACATCAAGCACCCATTCTAATTGGTTATGCTGATGCAGATTACAGCAATTACAGACAAAGCTTCACCAGCAATTAAAGTCTTCTACCACCAATAGAGAACAGCACTCGTCTTGTCATTCAGGAGACACTTAGCAGTATTTAAAGTTGTCACGTGTGCATCTTTGTATTGCCTACTCTTTGTATTTCCTCTCTGCAGATTTTGTATGGTAGATCTGTGTCCATCCAGTATACTGAACAGAATCCACCCCTTGTTACTTCCATTAGATATATTATAGTACATTGATCGCGATCCATTTTTTGTAATACCAGTTCAAAGGGGCAGTGCAAAGCACTGAACACAGCGATTAGATGCCATTAACGCCATAGTTGCAGCTTAGGGCTCGTTCACACTTGACTTTATTTCTAACTCTTGTCAAACACCTCTATAGCGTTTGACAGGTGTTAGGTGTTTGGGAATCATTTTTATTCCCCATTCGCGGTTTTGAGGCATTTGGACAGCACAGTGGCAAAATGGTTAGCACTTCTGCCTGGCAGTACTAGGGTCGTTGGTTCAAATCTCAGTCTCAGCACCACCTGCCTGGAGTTTGCATGTTCTCCCTGTGCCTGCGTGGGTTTCCTCCGGGTACTCCAGTTTTCCTCCCCCACTCCAAAGACATGCTGGTAGGTTAATTGGATCCTGTCTAAATTGTCCCTAGTATGTGTATGTATGAATGTAAGTTAGGTACCTTAGATTGTACATCCCTTGAGGGTAAGGGACTGATGTGAATGCATGACATATATATGTAAAGTGCTGCATAAATTGACGGCGCTTATATAAGTACCTCTAATAAACAAATTTGATAGGTGTTTGCAAAGCGTTAAAACTGCACCACAAACTCCTATAATGAAGTTAAATGGTATTAACGCTCCACAACTGCCTCGCAACTGCACTGCAAACGCCTGCCAGGCGTTTGCAGAGCGGGCACCATAGACTTGAATGGGAGGCTTCAACTCCTCTTGACTCCACATGAGGTGTCAGTTTTGCCACGACGCAGTGTTTACACTTCCATGTGAACAGTGCTGTGTGCTGCCATGTGCAGAATTTTCATAGGCGTTTGAGAAGCGTTGAAAACGCTTCCCAAACGCCTGTCTCATACCTGTTGACAAAGCTAGTGTGAACGTAGCCTTAGTTTAGCAATCAGGTGAGCACTGCAAGTGATGTATTCCAGTATCAAATGGAATGTCTGCTTATTCTAAAATGCATATTCACACCAACTGATATATACATATATATATATATATTTTTTTTTAATTATTTTTTTCTTTCTTATATGTGTTTTAGAAAAAAAAGCAGACTGCATATATATATATTTTTCTGGAATGTCTGCTTTTTTCCAAAACACATATTGATAACAACTGGAAGAAAAACAATTTTATATATATATATACTGTATGTATATATATATATATATATATATATTTTTTTTTTTTTTGACCATTAATTTTTTTTCCCCCAGTTGTTAAATGAGTGTTTTAGGCCAGTTTGACATTGCTTTTGATCATTATATAGTCATGGAATGTTGCTTTTTTCATTTACATTAAAGAGGCAACTTGTAGGTCAAACAAATATATATAACATAACATATATATATTATAAATAACCACAAATGTTTTTTTTTTTTTGCTTTTTTTTTTTTTTAAAGTTTTATTCAAGCCCCATACAGAGTCCATATCAATTTAGTACAGTTAGGTACGGGACATGGAAAACCTTTGAACAGTGACTGCTAAATGCTTAAAAAACGTCTGTTTAGCCGCGTTTATGAACATTTGCGTGTTTGAAGAGTTTTTTAAAGATAACTTCAGGAGACCTTCCAAAATGCCCAGAATGCACTGAAAAACAGTTAAAATATGAACTATTTCAGACAATTTGAGAGAAATAGAGAGAGCAAAAGCAGAGAGAGCAGTATGTGTTGAGATTAGCTGTCTTTTCTGGTTGTATTCACTATGGATCCCATCATGAGCATAATGCGGCACGTTCTACCATTTTTTTTCCTTCACGCAAAACCTGGAACTGACTGCACTGGTGTACTAGGCGATGGAACACATGGAAAACGTTCCATGCATTTCCTGATGATGCAAAAAATGCTCTAGTGGACAGCATTTAAATATGGGAACATTAAAAAAACGCTTCTAAGCGCAAACGCTTATAAACGCGGTTAGCCATTTAAACCGTTTACAAGCGTTTGAAACGCTGATAAAATCTACTCCTGAACGCAAGTTTGGTGCATTAAAAAAAATGACTGTAAAACTCAACTGCCTGTAAACTGTAAACAACGAATTCATGGACACATTGAAAACATTAGGGAGAGTTCCCTGTACCTGCTGAAACAAACGCAGAAAAGCTCCTGAACGTGAGTTTATCAGCTGCAGTGTATATGAATCCTTACAGTATCATTTTGTTTTCTTTAGGGAAAAGTTCTTTTTCACATGAATAAAAGCAGCCTGGCCAGTGTTTGCTCACCCCTCTAACTGCTACAAACAATAGCGTTGATCCATGTTGGCCCAAACAGTTTTCTAATTTTGTTTAATCAGCCACAGAATCTAAGGCTATCACACCTAACTTTTGTGGGTTTTCCACATTGTTTTTGGCATGCACTGCAGTGACTCTTTTTTTATTGTTTGGAGACAGCAAGGGGGTACGCGCCATGGGCAGTTCTGGCACGGAGGCCTTCATTACGCAGTAGTGCGTCTTATTGTCTGGGCTGAAACTTCTGTACCACATCTGACAAATCTTTTCTCAGTTCCCTAGCAAATCATGTAATGGACTGGTACATTCTCTGCATCACAAAAACGCTGCTAAAAGCGCTTAGGTAGCGCACAGCAGTCGAAGTCAGCATCTTCTTTCTGCCACGACCAGGTAGCGTTTCAACAGTGCCCTTTGCCTTGAATTTGCGAATGATGCTTCCTAAGGTGTCTCTCTTGGTATGAGGTTTAACATCTTTGCAATCTTCTTATAGCCATTGCCCTTTCCTGTGAAGAGAAATCACCTCTTCTCTTGTCTTCCTGGACCATTCTCTTGCCTTCACCATGTTTTGTAACCACACCAGTAAATGTCTAGAAGGAGCTGAGTATCACAGTCATTTTAAAGCTGCCTAATTGGGTGCTTATTATGCTTGATTGCTGCTCGGTGACATCCACAGGTGTTTTCAATACCTGTTAATGGAAAGCACCTGTATGAACCTCTGTTCTTCAGAGTGGTAGTCTTTAAGGGGTTGAATAATTGTGGCAATGAAGAAACCACATAAAGAACCATTTACTACTGTATTTACACATAAACAATTGATGTCATTTTAGTTGCATTTGGGTAGTTACAACGTCCTTGTAGGATTTGATTCTGAATACAATTCCAAATGTACACTATAGTCCCTAAACCCCTTTACAGCATTGGGGGTTGAATAATTTTGGTCACAACTGTATATATTTTTTTTTTTTTTTTTTTTTTTTTTTTTTTTAAGTGGTATTAAGCCCAAAAACATACAGAACTCCAGCTATCACTTTTTAGGCAGTTAAGGTTCATGTACATGGGACGTTTGGAAAACACTTCTG